TATCATGTACACACTGGCGACATTGAAGGTGGGGTGTCATGTACACACTGGCGACATTGAAGGTGGGGTGTCATGTACACACTGGCGACATTGAAGGTGGGGTGTCATGTACACACTGGCGACATTGAAGGTGGGGTGTCATGTCATCGGAGTGAGACCCCTGACACTTTTCTTATTTTAGTCACTAAACAGTAGATTGAAAGACTATCAATTATCTTGATGCTCAAAATAAGGCAAGAAGATTGGAACCAGATATATATACCGGTGTTGCTTCCCCCCCCCCCCCCCCCCCCCCCCATGACCCACAGCATTAAAAACAGGAGATGCTCATTCGCTATCTGCTAAATTATTGTTTGGTGTTGTCAACAAAATGATGAGCAGCATTGTCAATTTGTGCATCCATTATGTTGATATATGACCTGCGATCTGCAATATGAGACATTAATGACGCCCGACTTCTATGGCTTAAAAACTGTTTACCCATGGACTCTCATTCTGGATCTTTCTTAGTTTCAAGTTTAACTTTTGTTCCGACGTCTTGGCTTTCAGGAAGGAGCTTCTGCCCGCAAGGCTCAGACACCAGCAATGCAACCAGTGCCCAGACCAGGTAGGTCTACGTCGCTTCTGGGCAGTCCCTCATGGCGGTCTGCCATCCCCAGTCTCCACAGCATTTCTGCAGCGGTATGAAATAGATACATTGACCGTGCCCTAAACGTCAGCCTGGATGTCTGCCGTGGCTCACGGTCGCCTGATAACTGCTGCCCTCCCGCTTTTAATCCGAAATTCCAGCGGCTGAACGCTGAACTTGAGTAATCCTACTGGCAGAATTGACTTATAAGCCGATTAATAACTAGATCTCTGTTTTTTGGGGGTAGCTAGATCTCAGCTTGGTCAAAATCAAAAGAATATATGTTGCTGGCAAGACTACCCTGGGTGGTCTCATAAACTTGCTGTTTAGTGACATACCCATTAAGGGAACACTATTCCTTGCATAATAAATGGTAGCAGACCTGGTGATAGTGTACTAACAAAGTGCATTTTAAGGTAGTTTTCTTCGCATTTTACAACAAATGCAAATGTGCTTCACATCATTGATGGGTAGATAGTGTTTTTTCCCCTCTGTCCCCAACACTATTTAAGCTCATGAAGGTGTTAAATGCCGCTGTTCCACCTTACATTTGTTAGCCAGCTTGGGAGTTAGCGGCGTGGTTTGCTAAAAATATCCTGACTAAACTTCAGCTCAGAACATGTAACATGCTCTCGTGCTGCTCTCCACATCCCGTGCTGCTCTCCACATCCCGTGCTGCTCTCCACATCCCGTGCCTCTGACTCAGCACCCAGCAGCCCCTTTTACAATAAGAGCTTCATTTTCTGCCCCCTCCCCAATACTACTTTCTGTGAGGACCAGTTTTATCTGTACATTCCCCCCCCCGCCCCCCTCCCCTGGCTAATAACATTTGTTTAATGTGAATTTCATCAGCTCAGCTACATGTGCGGTCTGCACTTCACTATCACAGGCCAGGGAAGATTAAAGACTAATCAGAGCAGGCAGAATTATAACTTTCTAATTCTGATGTGCTGCTTTGCCTGTATCGCATCCGTTACTAAGAGTTATTTATGCATTTGTGCAATTTGGTGTTATTTAAAAATAAACATGAGTGTAATCAGTTTGCTGTTTTTGATGACCTGATGTACGAACCCCTTTTGGACGATGGGGAAATTTTGGTAGGGATTTAACCTTTAATATGGTGATATGGCGCTAAACTGATATTGTACCCTGGTAATTTTAAATGTTTATTTTCATCTCCTTTTGCATCTGTCTGAGTTTTGATGATTTGATGAGTTGAGCAGGCAAGGTTTTGATGATCGGTTTAACGTTTTGGTTTCACTGTAATGTGTGGCTTCGTAAGATGTTGACACTAAAAAGTATTAAATTGTGAAGCGTCTTGCCCCAAAAGGCTGCTTGGTGATAATGGAGATCAGGTCTGGAAACAGAGGACACTTCTGGCAGATCTTTGTCCCGGAAATCCTGAGAAACACATCGCCGACTTGATAAGCGGCCCATTAGGAGATTTAATGCCGTCGTCTGGGGTTTCTGTCTTCTGAAAACTCGCCCCGTAACGCCTGGCGTGACACTTGGGGGGGCGGGTGGGGTTGTAAGCTGGCCTTGCTGTTTTGTTTCTTGGACTGAGCCCAGGAAATCAATAAAATACATAGAGGATGGTTCTGTCGGGGGCGGCGGCAGGTGTCTCTCGCGGTGTCCTGTTCTCTGGGCTGCACTCATCCTGATTGCTGACAAATAACTTGGACATTTGACTTTTTCTCCTAATGAATTGCTTCTGTGTTGTCCAGTGTCAACTTAATGTCCCAAAAAAGTGTTTTAAAATGGCTCCAGAACGACTTCCTTGCTCCAGCACTGGTGGGGAGTTTCTTCTAGAAGGCCAGAGGAGTAGTTAACGCCTTGTGTTCAGAACCTGGAACTCCAGATCTGGTTCATCTTCTGCCCTTACGTCATCTCTGAATCAGTGCATTAAATCAGAATGTAGCTTTAGTTTCATGATACTTCTGTATGACCCAAATCAAGACACGTACCTTCTTTGTTTGATTCATTACAGCAATCAGCGCAGCGTCTTTCTGGTACCTTCTCACACAGTGTGTTCAGTGTTTATCAGGCTTCTGGAAGCTGATTTGTCCAGGGGTCAAAAGTCAATAAAAAGCTGATTTGTGGTTCCTTTCGGTTTCACTGTCCCACCACGCATGGGGGGGGCTCTCCCTCCAGCGTCCCCTCCCTGCCTAAGTCCACGTCTGACCAGTTTTGAGTTGCATCTGGCATTCTTGGGCACGTAGCACCGAAGAAATTCCCGGCTGCACACGTTTGCATAGAATTAATGCCTCCCCATCACATGCCACAGATTAACCTCTGAACCCCCCCCCCAGATTAAATACACTCTCTGTAGCAAACGACTTCAGAGAAGCAACACATTCCCTGCTTCATTGCTGACTTAGCTGTTCATTTACTTCAAATGTAGATTTTACAATTTCATTTGTTACAAAAACATCTATTCATCTGAGGGGGAAGGATTTCGGTGTGTAAGTGGTGATTTATCTCGTCTGCGTCGCCATCAATCCTTGATTGCTAATGAATTTTCATTGTTGCATAAAACAAACATGCCCTGATTTGCCTCGGCATCAAAATACAACGTACACTTTAAGCAAGTGCCATGCTGCTGTTTTCACTGTACAGGCGAATTAAACTTTTTACCGTTAATTTTAATTTTCCTTTTCAGTGTCACAAGCCAGACCACCGCCTAACCAAAAGAAGGGTATGTATGGAAAGGGCCAGTTACGTGCATGATGCTTTTAAAGGGTTAAAATATCATGTTCAACTTTGGATATTTTATTACCAGCTAAATGCTGAATTGCATGTTGGCTAATGTTGGTTGCTTGTATTGCAGTTCTCGAATTTATAGTGGTTGCTGGCAAAAAATGTAGTTTTTCAAGGTCACTTAGGGTGTTCGATAGCTTGTCTCTGTCTGTGAAGGAAATGGCAGACGCAGGATTCTAGTATGTAACAGTCACGCTTCTTATTGTTTGCTCTGTGCCACAGTCCCATGTTCCTTCTGTCTAATCACTGTTACATACATTGTATGTGTAGCATGTATGTTAAGCAATATGTGTTTAATCGCTTAAGAATGAAGTTGTATGTTTGCACTGTCTGAAAGTGTTCCTGGATGTAAATGAGTCGTGTCTCAGTAAGCTGTAGTAATGATTTTGTCATTAATGTAGGGGCTGAATGTGCATCAACAAAAATGCAATCTTTCCATGCTCTTTCCCCCCCCCCCCCTCGTGTTAAGGGTCTCGAACTCCTATCATCATCATACCCGCCGCCACGACATCGCTGATCACCATGCTTAACGCCAAGGATCTTTTGCAAGATCTGAAGTAAGTGTTTTGATGTTAGTGTTTCTGCCATATGAAATTGCCTTGAAATATGTGTCCTCAGGCAGAGTTATTTGTGGCACAGTTGATAAATCTCTAACTAATGAGAAGTTGCATCCCTCTTCTACTCGGCATTGCTGAACACTTAAAGCTACGCTGAGCCTTTTGAAATACCATAGCCATTATTTAATGCACAATGCACAATACAATGTGATCGTACCATTTATCTCAGTCACTGAAGGAGATTCTCTATATGAAGGGTAAAATCAATATGCAGTATATTCCGCATGTTACCTTAAAACATCTGTGCTGCGTGCAAATCCGAGGATGACTCCCCACGGTCCTTCTCATGCATGCTGTCATTGCTGCATGGCTGCTCAGGCCGGGGATAGACTTGATGCCTTTGAATCGCAGCTTTTTACTTCCTAGCAGAAAATGTTTTGCATTTAAAGTGTGCAATTAGTTGGTTATTCCTGCTGAGCTCATATATATCACAGCCTCTTGAGGAAATTAATGGGAAACAGGGGGTCAACTAAATTGATTAAGGGGTATTTTGTTAATAATTGCCTTGTCCACAGAGCCGCGTCAGCTTCAGGGTTTGTGACATAGTGTTTTAATTCCAGCAGTCATTGTCCGAGCGGCTGGCAACTGTGTAACGCGTGGGGAGTTGAAAAAGTCAAGCGTCGCAGGCAGTTCTGATTATTAGATTGCCGTGACTCGGCATGCTGTCAGACTCTGATCTGGATGAATATCTTTGCACCTGCTGGTGCCGTTTCTGCCTGCTGTCCATCTCCATGCGTAACCAGTGAACACGATAATGGGGAAGGCAGTTGGGGAGGGGTTTTTTCACCTTGCTAAGTGTCCCACCGATATATAACTTTTAAAATAGCTTTGCTTAGCACAGTTTGAGCCACTATATAGGTGAAAAATGTCGTCCATCAAAATCATATCAGTCTGAACTTGTGGCCCAGGAATGGTCATTGTGCTGTTGCGATTCCAACCTTTCCACCATGCGTGACGATGACGGGTTCAGCGCGGCGTGAGCCGCATGTCACAGTGGCGAGTCTCTTCCTGTTTACGCTGCCCACACGATGCACAGCTGAGACGTGCTGGCTCAAGCTCGGGAGGCCGAGGGTGTTTATGCGTGTGCGTCAGCTGCTGCAGCGGTTTTCTTTCATTTATGTGCGAGGTGACGATCTGAATTATTCAGTTGATCATTGAAATGCCTTTGAATGTAGCTAGTGGCAAACTCTGATTGGCCTTGTAATTACCTCGCCGGTCAATTAAAAAAAAAAAAAAAAAACCTTCGGAAAATCACACTTGTCCCATTGAACTCGACTTATGTGCCTGCTGGTGAACGTTAATGTTAAACTTCTAGTATTTTAGTCGATTTTCTTTATTGCCTGCCATTTTTACTGCGTTTGTTTCCGAAGAAACGCCAGCCAGACTACTGTGGTGCTCTGGCTTTAGTAGCTCATTTTCACCTGTGAAAATTTACTGCTAACACAGTCATTTCCGATACTCGCCGGAGGAATTGGTTGCAGTTGCAACATCTTATTGACTGCATAAATCAGTTAAACTGAATGTGTTAGCACATCGAACTGCTTCTCACTGCCACGAAACTGAAGATGTTTAACCAGAGGCATGTTAATGATATTGTCCTTTCGTGCCAAATTAAGCCCCGCCCTTATGTTAATTTGTCACACGACTCGTCTCGTCGTTTCAAAGTTGCATGCGCTAGGATTTTATTTAACTGGTCTCACTAGTAGATGTGGTTACTGTTTACATATCAGAGACAGTGCTGAACATACCTTTACGTTTACGAAAAATACCAGATTTGAGAATGTTACTATTCCGGTATGGTCATATTCCTCAGGTTAATAGCCTCCTTTTAGTAAACGTACGGCAAATGTACGCATCCACAAATCTCTTAGGGAAACCTCATTAAGTTTAGTTGTGTGCCGCAAGTATGATTTAAGCTGGTTTTGTGTTTATAACGTTTAGGGTTCCTGTGCACTCGCGTTCAGATTGGCGTTTTTGATACGTTTGTGAGTCTCATGCGCTTAACACGCTTGGTGTGTCCTCTCACTAGGAAGGCCATTTGATGTGCGTCTAATTGACTTGCCGAAAAAGACGGCGTCTCCCTGCTCTGAGCTCCTTGCATGAGCGGCTTCCTGGCTCCCTGGCAGCAGACAGCGGGACTTTATAATTAGCGGGTGCCTGAAAGGCAGCGGCCTTTGAAGTTGCCGCACGCAGCGCGGCACGTTAAGTCGGAAGAGCGCGTTTAAGCCGCGTTTCTAATGGCCGCTGTGAGAAGGCCTCTTCGCGGGTTCGAGCATCCGTTCACCAGAGTCACGTCACCTAACTTGCCAGCTAGCCAGTATGTTGTCACTCCCGTGATTCCGTCACCAGTGTCATTCCATCATGGTTTGTTTTATATGACCGAAAGCATATGAACTTCTGATGTAGATGTGTTCTTAAAATAAATGTTCCTTTTTATACCTTTCATTTGTATACTACTGGTCATCTTGGTTGTTTGCTTAGCTAACCCCCCCCCCCCCCAAAAAAAAAATCTTGCGCATTCTAGGACAAATATCTATTGTCGGTCACTTTATGTAACACTTTTGCTGAGATGCTGCTAAAGTATTGCTAATAGCATCCATCCATCCATTCATCCATCTGTCCATCCATCCTCCTGCTGCTTATCCAGCTCAGGGGGAGGAGGCCTGAAGCCTGTCCCAGGCAGCACAGAGTGCATGGCAGGGCTATGCCAGTTCACCCGGGGAGGGAAGCGGGAGTGTCTGGAGGAGGTGTGATGCAGTGGTGGTACGTGCTGCTCTTGGCGCGCCGTCATGCTCTTAATTTTTGCAAATGTCTCGTATCTGTGATGACTTCCAGTCCGTCAAAACCGCACGTCTGCTGCGTCTCCCCAGCAAACAGTGTCGGCGTTCAGAAATCTCATTGGATATTTTGTCAGGCAAACTTTTTATTCTGCGAAGAAACATCGGTGCAGGCAGCGCCGCCTCTCGCAGGCCTGTGATCGCTTCCAGAGGGCGCCGGTGCCGTCGACGGCCCGCGGCGCTGGAGGCGTGGGGCGGCCCGAGGGGCCATCCTGGCCTGTCGATTTGATGCGCCCGCCTGTGACAGGCCGGGGATTCTGCCTCCCTCCAGCTGCTCTCGCCCCGTTGCCGGAAGATTGACTGTTCTGACAGCCGCGCCGTTCGAAAGATCTGTCCCAGATTGCGGCTCCGTTCGGCTTGTTTTGTGGGCTTTTTCGCATGAGATTTTTGTTGCCGTTTTTAGAACGAATTCACAGGGCTGCCTTGACTTTGAAAAGTTGCACCCCCCGCCCCCGGATTGGTTTAAAAAGTGGCAGCTTATGCTGTAAATGACAAAAATAATTTGTGGTTGAGAAACAGGTTTAAGCTGTGACCTTAAAGGCATTACACCTATCTTTAAAGGAATGGAATGGTTTGTAAGACAGTGAGATGGACAGACAGATGAATGGACGCAGAGACAGATATAAACCTGACTGAAGAAAAGCCTTTGCGAGGCGTGACCTCACTTATGGGGTGACCCTTTTGTTTTACCAGTTCCTCAAAGAGAAACACAGAAAGTCACGTTCGGTGGTTTCCTAGACTGCTTGTCTTACAGGCAAGGAAAATGTGTTTTCTTGGTAACCTTCTGATTTCGGAAAGTCGTCTGTGAGTGTCCAGAGCCGTCAGTCACTCCCTCCTTACCACATTCATTCATTTATTTGTTTATCTGTTTCACTTATTTATTTATTTGACTAGAGAGAGATGCTATTTGGATATTTCATATTGGCAAACGTCTTCTCAACAGAAGGACTTGCTTAACATTTCATGTTCAATATATTTGGACAAAGTGATTGTTACTAGATGAGCTGATGTGCACATTTTTAAACACCGCAAGAGATGTGACCCTGCCAGGTTCTAAACATGCCGTGGTTAAATTCTCAGGTGTTCCGAGAATGGCTGGCAAATGCTTTCTATGGTTTGCTACATGTAATTGCTCATGCTTCGATTCAGCCTGTGCTGAGATAAAGCTTCTGCAAGTTATTGCCAGCTGCAGAATCCTGTTATGCCTTCCTGTTTTTCAGTGCAGAAATTGCATACGTTAAACCTAATTGTTCCACCACTCAATTTTCTCCATGGCGAGTCTCTTCAAATCAGAAATAGCTAGGTATAGCTAAAATATTGAGTGGGAAACTTTGTTTTTTTTTTTCTTTTTTGAATTGCCTTTAAACTGCCTTAACACTCAGTTGAAATCCTGTTTTGATTTAGTCTGTCTGATTACAGGTTTTGCTGGTATTCAGTTTTTAATCCCAGAGTGACGTAAGGAAATTTTAGCTGTTCATGAGGAGAAACCTTCTATCCGTTGTTATATATGTATATAATAGTTGAGTGTTTAACTGCAACAATAAAACATTGTTCGACTTTCAGCAGCAGGAACAAAAGTTGATTGTTTTCTGCAGAAGTGCGTCCATTCTCTGGGGCGTCTGCCCGCCCGGATATCCACACTTCTCGTTTTCTGTGCTAGCCAAGCGACTGCCACTTATGGCAAATGGTTACCACGGGAACGCTTTCACGGGCAGTGCGGCGTCTGTTTCGCTGAATGTCACCCGCTTAAACCCGAAGGCCCTGGTTTTGTTTTAAAAAAAAAAAAACCACGTTTTGTTTTGAAGGTTCGTGACGTCTGACGATAAGAAGAAACAGGGCATTCAGCGAGACAACGAGGTCCTGCTTCAGAGGCGGAAGGATCAGATTCAGCCTGGAGGGACAACGATCAGCGTGACCGTACCCTACAGGGTCATCGACCAGCCTCTTAAACTGGCCCCACAGGACTGGTGCGTGTGCAGATTACCCACAATTCAATACCCAACAGCCCATGCACACTGTGCCATTGGAGTCTGCGAAGTTACTAGAGTTTCCCTCTTTGAAAGTCATTTTCACTGGCATGTCTGTTTTGGGAAATGTGCAGTGCATTTAAAATGCGCCTTAATCTAATGATCCTTTTTGTCTCTTTTGAAAACTTAAGGCACTTAGCCGATGCACTTATCTGTAATGATTACAAAAAATGGAGATTCATGAAAAAGACACGTATCCAGCATTCTGTGTCCTCTTCTTCCGATAAGTCTGTAAAAATCAAAATGCAAATGTATTCTTTTATTCCACTGCGCCTTGCCTCGTTTGTCATAGTGTGCACACATTTGTCTGTCAGAAAAATTGAGCAAGGCTAATTTACTAGTTGACTAATAAATTGCCGGCTCTTTTCTGTAATTGTGTATTTTCTGCATGTGTGGCCCAGTGCGTCAGTGTGCGCAGCTTCGTCAAATGTAAGTGTCCACATTGTGGCCAGTAGGAGAGTAGAAGACTCTTAAGAAGATGAGGCAGATGCTCTTTACGCCAGCATCCTACAAAGTGGGATATATCTAAATGAAATATCTAGTTCCTTTTCCCTTTGTTTTCTCTTCCAGGGATCGCGTGGTGGCTGTTTTCGTTCAGGGCCCTGCCTGGCAGTTCAAGGGCTGGCCGTGGTTACTGGCTGACGGGTCCCCTGTTGACATTTTCTCTAAAAGTGAGTCGAAGCAGGATGTCAGTCAGGCAGAAAGCAAGTGTTTTACCTGTCAGGATGGGAGGGGAGGCTGTCCTTTCTGTTCGTTTGCCGTGAGTCCCTAGGAGATAACATCAGAGTGTATCGTGAACGTATACATTTTATAAAGTGCTGTCACATCAGGTACAGATTAGTGTATTTTGCTATTTCCCCAGTTCGTTCAAAACAGTCTAATCAATCTATATAAACTCATCTTTAGCCGGATTGCCTTAGAATTGCATCATTTCTTGAATAAAATTTTAACACAAAAAAAAGGGTATCATTAACTATAGTATATGTTAGATTCACTTGTTAAAAGCCACGGAAAACCCTGCCTGGCAAATTTTGGTCAACAGGCTGCTTGTCTCCCCCCCCCAAACCCCAATCCACAGTTAGAGCCTTCCATCTGAAATACGACGAACAGAAAATGGACCCAAACGTACAGAAGTGGGACGTCACTGTGCTGGAGCTGAGCCACCACAAGAGGCACTTAGACCGGCCCGTGTTCCTGCGGTTCTGGGAGACGCTCGACAGGTGAGCCCGGCTGCCTGCAGGCCTGCTGTCATGCGGCGTCAGTTTTCGGGCAGCGAGCGCCTTAAAGGGGCGTGACCCTTTAATCGCGGGGGTTATTAAATGCAGGCCACCTCTTTTATTGCTCAGACATCTGGGTTTCTAACATGTATGACACATGCCACACACCGTGGGCGTCCCACGTGGCGTCCCGCTCGGTGATGCGCGCCACAGTTTCAGCGTCATTCCTTTTCGCGCGAGCAAAGCGAAACCCGATTCTCCTCACGCGGCCCGCAGTGTCGGAGGCCCGTCCTCACTTCCCTGGCCCTGGCCTCTTTCCTGATCTGCAGGTATATGGTGAAACACAAATCCCACCTGAGATTCTGAGCGCGGGCCCTCCTCTGGCATTCGGCGACGTGAAGAACAAGAGGAGTGTTGTTCTTTTCGATTTTGGTGGTTGGGGGACGGGTGGGGGGGGGGGGGGGGGGGGGGGGGGGGGGGGCTGCGTTCCCCACATGTCTGAATCCTCTCCAGAGCTCCATCTGCCAAAATGAAGCTGCCTTCCACCTAATTGTCTGCTTCTGGAATCTCCGATCCATCACCAAGAATATACTCTCCCTGGCGTTCTTGCTGGTATGTTGTTTTGGCCGTGAGGTGTTGATCTGGGCGAGCCACTGAAGGTTTTGGTGGGTGGGGGGGGGGACATGATTCTTCATTGTCTTACACTCTCCCTTTGTCACATAGTAGACGTACCAAAACTATATTTTTCAATAGGTTGTATGTTCATTCTCATGACCGAGGAAACAAGGTGTTCCTCAGTGTTTTTTTTTTTTTTTGTTTTGGTCTATGTGTAAAATAAATGGAATAAAAAAAAATGAAAGATCAAATTATGATGATATAGATGTGTTGAATAAAGTAACTCCTAAGCATAAGGGTTAGTATCCCTTCGGTTGCATGTGTGTGTGTGTTTTTCTCCACCCTTGCTCCAAAATCCATTTATCGACTGCTTATGATTTTTATGTTATGATTGTATGTCAGTAGCAGGTGACGCTCAGTGCCGCGCAGCTCCCTTGATTTCTTTGAATTAAGACTGAAAGGGAGAAATTTTGAAAGATTTTTGAAAGGGTCCGTTGTGAAGAGCTGTCTTCGCAGATGTGGGATGTGCGATGCAGGTGAGAAAAGCCTTTGTCCTCCGGACAGCTTTTTAAGTTCAGGAGCAAGATTATGTGGCACCTTATTTTTGGCAAGTAGGTGTTTATCTGACTGGCATTTCCGAACATTCAATAAAACTTTTTTTTAAATAAAAAGCGGTCGTAGCTCCATGTTACACTGAAGAGATTTTTCTTAAAAAAAAAAAAAAGAAAAAAAAGAAAAAAACACAACAGTTCCTTAAATTGTTACTTTGTACTGGGCAACATATGAGGATAATAAACTTCAATGGCGTAAAAATAAGAGGCCTGTATTTTTTTCCCACACCCGCTCTGCCCTTGCTTGGCGCTTGCCGTAGTCGTCTCCAAATGTTACTCTTGGTCACTCTAAATGCCCTGTATTCTATAGTCAAGTTAGCTAATTAGGTAGATGCCATGAATTTCAATTTGCTGTGTCATCGATCATTGGCATGCATCTGGATGACTTTGTGCATGCATAATTAGACCTGGTGTTTAAATTTTCAGAGTTAAGCAATTTCTTAGAATGGTAACTAGTTTTGTATTCCAGATAAGATTTTCCCTCTCCCTGGGACTCTTCTGGGACTTTTTCCATCTATTTTTGTTGTGTGCTGTACCCTGTATTCTGTGACCAAGAACAGTAGCAAAGATATGAAACATTCCTTTTAAAAATAGGAAATGTTAATTAGATATGCAGTCGGCTTTAATTTCATGTTCTCAGTAATGAGCAACTAGACTCAAACAAAACATGCAATTATGAATGTTGACAGTGAATTTCCAGGTTGAATTTTGAAGAGGGTGATGGTTATACATTGTTGTACAAGTTTTAGTCAATAATTCCAGCAACTGCTTCCTTTAGACTATGTAAATGGATCAGTGGATCTGTTTCATGGTGTTTCGTTCCTGTCCTGAAATAACACAGGAAGAAAAATTTGCCTGCAGTGGGTAGGAATTCTACCTTTTCCTTTTCTCCCCTTTTCCCCCTAAACCTTGAATTGGGACCCAAGGGAAATTGCGATCTGGCCTAGTTATGCAAAAGCTCTGAGGTTTGGGGATTCTGCGGCTGACTCATAAAAACGACTTAAAGGCCCCGACAAGGTGATTGCTGACGTTGCACTTATAAAATATTAATCCGTTGATTTCATTCTTGGGTTTCATTGACTTCAACTGTTTGTCTCCATGCTTTTGTCTTTATCTTTATGTCATTTCAGCAGTCTAGCCTGCCAACTGTGGGCAGTTAGATTTCACACCGTGGGAGATGAGATCTAGAATCTGGAGTCTTGCATTGTGTTTATGCGGAATTTGAGGTCAGCCGGCTTCCTTTGATCTTATTAGTATTCAGTGAATTTGAGCTGTGAGCTATTGTTACCAGGAACTTGTTTGTTACCAAAATATGTTACTAGTGTTCGATATTAATCTGGGGGCAGAGACTGGACTATATAATTTTAGTGTTTTGGATTTGTGTCCTAAAAAATTAATCCGGAGCAGATATTGTCCTCTGAGGTCATAGCAAGATTAATTTTTAAACATTTGTTGCATAAAAAAACTGACCTGCATATCTAACACGTTTACTTTATTCTCTCAGAATGGATCGTAAAAATCACGGAACTCGTGGCATTTACAGTTCTTTGATAGCTCCCTGCTGAAATTTGCCCTGGACTGTTACCTCAGTCTTTTTATCATTGTGAATGGGCTGGTGCTGTAGCTCCTTGAGCTGCTGGTCTGCTGGAATACCGATATGAATGCTAATCGTACGGAGCATGGTGGCCCCTTGTCACATGGCACGCCCCCCTCTTCAGCTTCTCCTTTAGTCTGTATGAAAAGTTGAAGGAGCCGGTTGCCCTTTAACTTCGCAGGGTTACGGCGCAGACCTCTGCGTTTGTCAGGCGGGGCTGTTTATAGCCAGCGCTGAGTTATTGATCACTTTACATGCAGGCTGACATGAAGGCACTGCATCTTTGTTGCCTGGTTACCGAGCTGAGGTGCCGGAGAGGCCTTTATCTATGGCCCCCAGAGCAACACATGAACACCCCTCCGTTGAGCGGTTCGGCTGCTGAAATCCACCCTTTCCTTAATGAGTTAATGACTGACCTTTAACGTGGTTATCCTTCAGATGCAGGTGTAACAGAATGAGAGAGAGACGTTACATGATCTTCATTGGTCTCTAAACAAAATATAGTACTTACTGCTATATAATGGGTAAGTGCATTGCCATTGAAAGCCCCTAACAGTAATGTTATAATCTTGCAATAATATTACAGCAGCCTGTCATATTTTCCCAATCTATCAGTATCTTCAGTGGTACCTTAGACATTGACTTTAAATTCTTACCCATTACCTAACAGTCTGTCTATTGAGTCTGGAGTGCATGTGATGCAAGATCAATATAAATGATGTATCCGATGCACAAAGACTGAGATGCATAGTCGGGTTGAGTGTTTAAATCAAAGTCCCATTGAAGAGCAGTATCCAACTGTATAAGGGTAGCCAAAATGAGGAGACGCATTCATATGGCCAGTTATAAGTGGAAAATGTATAAAAGGTGGTGATACTGGAAGACTTGAAAATGATTGATAGCTCACAATGAACCTCATTGTGATTCCTTAATAAAAGTATTTATGTACCCAACAGCAATGCTGAAATATAAAACTCTAAATGAGACTTTCTTCCAAATAAAAAGAATTACGTAGGAGATGGGGTGGCTTGGTAACTCCGGAAGACTTTTACTGTCGATTTACATGGGTGTTGTAGCCATTTTTCATGGCTGCAAGGATTTCTATGTGAGATTCTCTTGCTCTAAAGTCCTTACTTGCAGATGAGATTGCTGCATTGTTTTAAAATATGCTTTTCATTAGAACACATATACTGCATTTTCTGCTACCATTTCTGCTTCTTCTCAGCTGTCCATACGTGTGATCTTTTTTTTTTTTGGAGGGGGAGGAGTCTTTTAACCGGAGCAGAATTCAGGTTAATATAAGACACTGATTTCAGTGCATAAGCTTCCCATAATGAATGAGCAGGGTTAGGGTTAGAGTGTAACTCAAAGTGAGGCTACAGGCTGTCGAATGTGAGGGAGTGGTAATCCTTCTTTGCTTGGGTAAATTATATATCTTTCTGAAATAATTTTCCAGATTTTACTGTAAAAATGTACAGGAGCAATAACCAAAGGTGTTATTTTCTTATAATTTGATGGTTAGAAGGTTTACGCCTTATCCTAAATTGGCCTTTTCTTATCTTGTGCATGTCTGTCCATTTTCCCAGACCTCCTTTCTCTAGTGGGTACTAAAGGCAGTTTAGAGGTTCCACTTCCACCTCAAGCACATCTTTGGACTGTGGGAGGACACCCTCACGAATCGGAATGGAACATGCGATTTCCACATTCGCCGAGCTGGGGGGCAGGTTCCCAATTTGAAACCCTTGGGGGTGTGAGGCCTCAGAACCATCCCCTTTATAATATGCTTGCGTAAACCAGAATGATGTTGAGGAATTCCACCATTGGTTCGCCGGGCAGTGGGCTGGCTACTTGACATTTGAAAGCGCTGAAAATAGAATGAGCTTCGTCATCTGAGACAAACGAAATATGAGTGAACTTAAGTGTTCAGGCTGTGCGTTTCAGCCCGACTCATGGCGAAAGCACATTAATCGTGTTTTGGTTATTCATCCACCACCTTCCATATTCATGTGCTGGTTCGCTTCAGCCAGGAAGTGGCTACGGGGGTCGTGAGGCATTAGAAGTCACCTTAGATTACAGCCGGAAAAGTCACCCAGACAGCCTGTAGCTTCAGAAGACAAGAGAACACCACCGTCAATTAATATTAATTACTCTGTGCCAACGACACCAATTTGGCTCATGCAGCTAGATGAAAGTTAAAGGCGGAATTGCTTTTACATACTCTGGTTAATGTATGTGAGCCGTGACGACGGGGATCTGCTGAAAGTCAGACATTTCTTTCAGTCTTGATGGAAACGCTGTGAGAAGATGGCTCCCTAAGTCTCCTGAGGTCGAGGAGGAGAAAATGAAAACTATGGAAAGTGACACAGGACTGGTTATGTGTTCATAATTGCACACCTAGGGAGGGAATACAGTAACCGGTGACTATATTACACACCCAAGGTGTCAAACTTTGTGTTAAGGATTTCTGCACTATTCCAAGATTTGCTTGCAGATCGCAACACCTCATTGGGGGAAACCATGTTTTAAATATTTTATACTTGCAAAGGAAAAGATAAATTGCAGAAAGCTGACGCTTTCAATTGGAGCTTGTGTGAAGGCCTGTCTTAATTTAAAAGTGCCTAATCAGTA